CCATCATCCATGCATCCTCCATCCATCCATCCATCCATCCATCCATCCATCCATCCATCCATCCTCTTCTGCTTCAGGGTTGTGGGAGCAGCATCTTCACCAGGGAGGCACAGACATCAACAGCCTCCTCTTCAACTCTTCTAGGACCCCATGGTGTTCACAGACCAGCTGACTATTTATTAATTAATATCCTGATGCTGCTCAATAATCCAGGTAGAAAAATCTAAAAAGTTAAGTCTGGTCCTCTGGACATTCACAAAACAAACAATACAGTTTATAATAAATAAACAATAAATGTTTTTTGTTAGTTTTGTTTTTTGAATGTCCAGAGGACCAGACTTAACTTTTTTAGATTAATAAGTAATAAATTTATGTTTTAATTTAATGAAAGACAAATCTTTAAAATTCAAGGACAAAATTTAATCTAATTGTTTTCAAGTCTGTATCTTATTGTAAAAGCAGTTTCAAAGATTACAGCACAGTGTGATGTTTTGCAATTTTAACATGAACCTTGTGCATATCTGCAAATAATAAAAGTGAAGATATTTTTAATACATCTTTATTGTAAAAATCTATACTAAAATGAAAAACACATGGGTTTAAAGCAGCAGGAAGGCAGTAAGGTAGGATTATGAATCAGGTTTAAAAGTTACAGCTCATGAGGTACTCCATTAGAGCATGACATCTCTTCCTCAACATCATGTGACAAAGTCTTCAGGGTGTTCTTCTTCTAATGTGTTTAGTGGTGGCTAGTAAGTAGCTTAAGGGAGCACTACCGCCACCAGGTGGTAAGACCAGTTGGATTCTGGTCCCCGCCTACAGAGCTGATCCAGAAATGTACATGGAAACACAACAGACCCGAACCGATCTGATCCGCACCGTAACAATGGAAAAGGGGCATCAGTTATGTTTAATTCTGCAGCAGGTTCAATTCCTCTCTGAAGACAGCTCCGGATCAGTAGGAACCTGGAGGAGAACATGTCAGCAGAACTTACGCCAGCCGGTCTTTGCTCTCCTCAGGGGTCAGCTGGTCGAAGGTCTTGGCCTCCTCCTTGCCCAGGAAGGCCTCGTGGTCGTACTGGTAGCCGTGAGTGTCGTCATGGGCGTGGTTCGACAGGTCGGCTTGATGGTGGACCCGCTTTTCCTGAGCGGGAACCGCAAAGACCACAGCAGCCAGAGAACTGAAGAACACCACAGAACTCAGTAGAACCATGATGGACATCTGGACACTTCAGGAGAGACACAAACGGACAAACTGTAACAAAAAACTGAAGTGGTAGACTTGTTTGTCCAAAAAAGGTCATGCATGTAGCTGTTCCAGTAAGACTTTGTTTCCCATCAGAACTGTTTTAACAACTGGAGCTGGTTTAATATCTTATTTCAAGATATTCAAGGTGCTTTACACTGCTATCCGTGTCCTCATCTACCCATTCATACAGCACTCTACTAGATCTCTACAAAGATAACTGAAAAAATCATCCTAAAGAGACTAATCAGTGCTTTTAGGTCCGACAAGCCTGCTGAAAATATGAGAACACACACACACAAAGTGCAGACAGCTAAAAATATCAACCATCGAGTAGAGTGCAAGCAAACAGATCTTAAACAAACATCACACTTTAAAAGAAAGTTAAAGTAATACTGTAATAACAGTAAACAAATAGTAAAACAAATAAATAACACTTTCTTTTTTTATTATTTCATTTTGTGCTCTTACAGAGTTAAGATGCCGGCGACTCCAGTAGCAATTCTTTGCATAAAAAAAAATCCAGATCTAATGAAAGAAATTAAAAAGATCTCTGACAAATGGACAAAATGCATGAAAAACCTGACTAATCCCTGGCCAAAAGATGGAACACTTGATCTATCCATGTGTGAAGACATGCAGGTGAGGATCATTGATTATAAACCAAACAACAAAAGACGTAGTGAAAAAAGAAAGTTAGAACTAAACATTCTTAAACTCTTTAAAGATGAGGGAAGTGCTTATCGAACATCATTAAGAGATGCAATCATTAAAATAAACAATATTCAAACCAAAAACAAAGACCTTGAAATTGACATGGAAATGAGCAATACAGATTTGTAAGTAAAAGGACTTTATCCTTTGGTAGGAACAGTAAACATAAAAGGAGACTTTGATCTTCACAACCACAAAACACCAACCATCAACCTAGCCAACCTTCCTAAAGAATTTGAAATAGCAACGACATCTGAGGAAAATAAACAAACGACACAAAAGGAGAATGTTAGCAAAATAGTCACCAATTCCACAAATACAAAATCCAAACTTCGGCAGCACAGTTAAACGAGCGAGTGAACGCCCACAAACTGGAATAATTTACTGCTTTGCAGAAAGGAAAAGCATGCTACATCACACACCTGGAGGAAAATCATATTGGCTTAAACTAGATAATAAAGGTCTTGACCTTCAGCGTGAGATTACACGTGCTGAAATCTCAGAACTAGAGTCAGTCATCGATAATGCAGAAGCACAAATTCTAAAAAACCAAAAGCAAACAATTGTCCCAACTGCAGAAATGAACATGCCTAGGACAGATAAAGATTTCAATCTTAAATACAGACCTAATTGCAGGTCACCTGACCGTCAAGTTCATGCAGCAACAAATAATGATGAGAATGAAGTTTCAGTAACAGATCACAATTTAAGACCAAGAGAAGATCTTAAGGCACCCGACAGGTACACCAATCCAGGACAGTATCCAATTTTAATCAAAGGAGCAAGAGCTTGTTATACGCCATGGCAGTCTCTTGACCTGACTAGATTGATCTCCCGACTACCTGATGTTCAGTCAGGTGCAGGAAAATTTATTAAAAGCTTTGAAGCAGAAACAACAGGCCTCTTCTTGGCTATAGGGGACATAAAGGCAGTGTGGTCAAAAACAATCGGACTGTCGGCAATGGAAGCTATGTTCCATGGCCATGGGTGGATGATGAACCCCCTGGCCGACGGAACAGAACTTAATGCATACAGAAATGAACTTTGGAAAATGCTGAGAGCCCAGTTTCCAAGTAGACTGGATCCACAAGCGCTTAAAGCTGAGCCACTTGAAGAGACTGAACATCCAGCAACCTATGTCGACAGACAACTCAAAAAATGGAGACTGAGGAAGATCCACGTGAAAGCCAGGTGATGACAACACTATTCAGAACATCACTGGTGTCTGCCATGCCCAGCCAAATCCGTGACAAGTTGGAGGACGTAGTGGGACTAAACTCTATGTGCTATCCTGAGTTTTGTGACCATGTGGTGCACACAGTTGAACAGCATCGGAAAGATAAAAAAAAAGTCCAAGATGCAGATCGGAACTTGCAACGGAAACTCACTCAGTTGCATATCAATGATTTCCAGAACAAATCAAAAGAGAAAACACAGGCTCCAGTCTTACAAACAGACATGAACAATGCTATACCTCCAACCACTGGAGCCCAAATGCAGTTGCCCCAAGCCCCTATCTTTCAGGGCCCACCACCCCCCCATCATAAATGTCTATCCAAATCAAACAGGCAGATGGCAGCCTGGTGGACTGAGGAAACCCTACACTAAAAAAAGTTTGGGAAAGCAAACTCGGCCAGGCATTGGACCGTGTTGGAAAGCACGCAAAGTTGGCTGTGGAAAGCTTAGACACAACATTAAAAACTGCAAATATTCAACTCCGAATCCTGGCTGGACTGGGCGTGGTCGGGGTATGAGATTTGGTTGGGAACAACCAAGAGGCCCTGTCAATCCATTTGCATCACAACAAGGTTTCTAGGGCTGCCCAGAGAGTCCTATTGGAGAGTGTGAATTACCCATTTTAACAAAATTCAGATGCAGAACCAATACTTCAAGTTGAAATACAAGGTAAAATAATTCCAATGTTAGTAGACACTGGAGCTTCATTCACATGCGTAAAATCAAACTATGCCACACGCCTCCAAATGTCTGACAAATTTGTCAAGACCATAGATTTCTCAGGACAACGACAAAAGAATCAAATGACAGCTCCAGTGGATCTAACTGTTAATCAAACAAAAGTCAAGATACCAATTTTAGTGTCAGATCAAACCCCAGTAAATTTATTAGGAAGAGATGCATTGTGTAAACTTAAAGCAAAAATCTGGTGCTCACCACAAGGAATCTGTTGACAGCTCAGGACTAGATTTCCAAATGTACACCCAAATTGAACATGCAAATATTTACTGGCTTGGAGACATTGCACAACCAGTAATATATTTTAAAAAAATGGGAGAAATACATTAAAGTTCAACTTCCTAAAGCAAACCCACCAACAAGTGTCTATCATTGCACTGTTTTATGATCCTTCATGCAGTACAGTATTTGAAGAAGAATGGGACAAAGCAACAAAAAACCTAAATGTTGAACTGATAACACAAAACATTGTCATAGGGCAACAAGGTGTAGCAGTAAACGTTCAGACCAATTCATTCATCACAAAATGGTACAACGTTCCAGAATCTGCACCTCACATAACCCTAATAGTAAATGAAGGCTTTGAGTCAAAAGACCTCGGACCAATGATGCTAGCAGCGTCCCAAGCTGAGTGGAAAGCAACAGACAGCCCTTTAATATTTACTGCAGATGAGGCAGGCATGATCAAAATCCTTTGTGGTACTTCTATGATAGCAAAGCCACAGGTAACTGTTCCAAGGAAAAAACAAATTCAACACACTCCAGAGCCTGAGTTAGGTCTGGATGAATTAAAAATGAAAATGCTAAAACACGTTCCAGACCAGTTGTGGTCAAACCCTGTACAAATTCAATTAAAACCAAATGTGAAATTACCTTGTCGATTTCAATATCCAATGAAACCAGAAGCAGAGGAAGGAGTAAGCTCAACAATATATGGATTGCGAAAAGCAGGAGTGCTAAAAGAAACATGTAATCCATGCAATACTCCTATACTACCAGTGTTAAAAGCAGACAAGTCTAAGTACCGGCTGGTACATGATTTAAGAGCTATAAATAACATTATCTCTGATTGGGCAGCAGAACTTCCAAACCCACACACACTTCTGACAAACATCCCTTCAGAAGCCAAGTATTTTACAGTTTTTGATCTGTGTTCAGCATTTTTCAGCATCCCATTGTCTGAAGAATCACAAGATCTGTTTGCATTCACATAGAGGTAAGCAGTACTCTTACACACGACTTCCACAAGGGTTCAAACACAGTCAACATGTGTTTAATCAAATATTAAAGCAAGACCTTGAAGACATTCAAATCAATAGTACTTTGTGTCAATATGTTGATGACATTTTGATCTGGTCACCAACAATCCAGGATTGTTATCAAGACACCATTAAAGTCCTCCAGAAGCTAGCTCAGGGAGGACACAAAGCATCTCAAACAAAACTACAGTTTTGTAAATCACAAGTCGAATATCTTGGAAGGCTAATCTCTCATGTAACTGTCTATCTCTCCAGAACATCTGGAAGGAGTGAGTAAAGCCCCTCAACCGCAAACTGTTAGTCAAATGTTGACATTCTTAGGAATGACTGGATTCAGCTCTGAGTAGATAGAGAATTATGCAGAAAAAACAGCACCACTCAGAGAATTAATAAAACAAACAGGGAATCAATCTCCAAAATGACCCTTAATGTGGACAAATGAAGCTAAAGTAGCTTTTGAAATAATCAAACATGACATGCAAGTTGCACCATGTTTAGCAACACCAGATTATACAAAACCATTTTTTCTGTATGTTGCAAACCGACAAAACATGTCTGCATCAGCAGTGTTGATGCAAGAAACTTGTTTTGGACGTCGACAACAGCCGATCGCATATTACAGCACAAAGCTTGATAATGTTGTCCAAGGTTGGCCAGATTGCTACCAAGGACTAGCTGCATTACACTATGCCTATGAAAAAGCATCTGCGATAACAATGGGTTATCCAGTTGTAATTTACACACACCAAAATTACTGAACTAATAAATCAAGGAAAATTTGTGTTAACACCTGCAAGGAGCTTACAATACAATTGGATTACAAGCGAAACGCCGGACACAGTCTTCCAGCTGGATGACAGACTTTTTTTTTGAGCGGACCGCTGCAACGAGCTAACGGGGAAACCACGGGGAGGCGGAGTATGCATTTACGTGAGTAAAAGTTGGTGCACGAACTGTACTGTTGTAAATAGCTCATGCTCGAAGGCTTTGGAGCAAATAACAGTGAAATGTCGGCCACATTATCTACCCCG